TGATTTGATGAAAGAATTGGGAGAGGGCTGAATGAGATAAAAGAAGAAAAGTGCACAAAAAATAATACGAGTAAAAAAAAGAAAGACTCTCAATATAGATTTCTTTCAATACCTGTTATTTTGCGGGCAAATTATCGTTTCAATATACAAAAAAACAACCCTGAAAACAATTTAAAACATGAGTCGGCAAAATAAAAAAAATTCCCGTTTGAAACAGTACAAAGAGTTCAAAAGCAGGTTAATTCTTTGAATAGTTGAACGTTTAGTTTGGAGTGGGGGAGGAAGAACGAGACAAAAGGGGAAAAGTGCAAAAAAGTAATACGAGTAAAAATTGTTTTAAAATACAGAAATACAATGCTGAAAAAATTTGTAAATATAAATCGACAAAATGAAGAACTTCCCGTCTGGCACATTCCGGCGAGTTCAAAAGTACGTTGATTCTTTTAATCCTTGAAAGGTTAATTTTGTGGGGGAAAAAGTCTAAAAGAAAGATATTGGGAGAGGGGGGTCAATACGAGGAACTAGATTTGAATAAAGAACATTTTGGCAGATTGGACGTTGATAAATTACTGTTCGGCGACATTATGAGTGAGCAAGAGGTGTCTTCGAAGAGTGGTTCTGGTTGCTTGAGCTTTGCCGCACAAAGGGCACACGGTGGCTCCTGTGTGGCACTCCATGTGACTCGTCAGAGTTGACTTGTGCTTGTACCTAAGACCACAAAGATGGCATGAAAATTTCTTGTCGTATCCGGGATTCGATGAATGGTTTCCTGTGAAAAAATCACCTATGAATAAATATCCTGCCTTGGTCCATTTTTTAGACATTTTTGACTCAACTTCTAAGACGGATAACACGATATTTGACAAACAGTTTTAATATTTATGACTAGTTTTGAAATCTTCTCCTTTTTCGATGGCTTGAGTGGTGTCTATTGTATGTATCCCTCTTGCAACTTTTCAAAATCAGACTTTATTTTTTACTAGGGGACTATATCCTATTATAGTATTTATAATAAGCGAGAGAGACGTTGTTTTGACGCTGGTGTTTTATTCTTTTAAACAAAAATAAATGTATTTAATTATTTCTAATTTTCACAAAATATTGTAAACAAAGAATTTAGGTAAAGGAGATTCCAGAAAGAATGTTCACTTGGTAGTTTCATTTTTATAAAATGTTGAGTAACAAACGCAAAAAACGTACGGTATCGTCATCCTAAACTAACTAAGACGAAGGCTTATCGGTTTTCCCGCTGGAAATGTTTTTTTTTTTTTTTTTTGGTGATCGAATCCTTTGAGAAAAAACAGCGAGCCGACGATAAATTGGCGGGAGCCACTTGGAGGGGTTCAACACTCTATCCTAATCCTCGGAAAAATAATAAAAAAGAAAATAAAAATAGGCTGGACATTCTACTTTCTAAATATCAAAGCGCTAATTTTGACGAGGAGTGGGCGTAGCCAGCGATTTTTGAACAGACTGTCCTCAAGATTAGAGTAAACAAGCAATCATGAGCTAGATGGAATGTTGGGTAGAGAGGTGACTCTGAAATTGCTCGAACGAAACAGGATTTAATTGTGAAATGTTGTGTTCTCGACACTGTTTAGGCGCCAAATCTGCAGCCATTTCTCTTGCATTTCTACCACTTTCCTTCACGAGCAGTTTTTTTTTGCAATTCAAGAATCTCTTTATCCGGAGTGCCTCAATACTTTTCACGCGAGAAAAATCCTTTACCCCGTTGGTTCTCATTGATGAGAGCATTTACTGTCAGGTAACAACGAGGCTTACTTTAGAGCAAGGGGTGGCCGGAAATTTTATTTCGCAAAAAATGTCAAAAATGTAAGAATAATGTAGGGAAGATCTAACTATAAGACAATTAAACGATGGAATTAGAGTTGAAACTCAGTCTTTCTTCCTACAGAAATAAGGTAACTCAGGTACTTTTTACTTAAAACTACACAACACACCTACTCGTAAATACCATCTCTTTGGCTCTGAGAATACAATATAAAGGTATCAAATAATTTTACCAGCCTCTAAGTGATTCTTCTAAGTATTTGATAATTTCACTCTAGGGCCTTGTCTCCGCAGAATGTTTCATAGGATTTGTCCCAAGTTTGTCCCAAGCAATCGATTTTCCTCCGTTAAATATAACAACAGAGTTTCTTCTTCTCCTCTCTGAGTCGCTTTTAGGACTTAGGGTCGCGCTTAAGGTACTTGGTAGTGTCATTAGTATTAACTGACTCAATATTTTCCCCGACTTCGTACGTGAGATTTCTCCTAGGAGTAATCCCCATGAAACGTTCCGTGGAGACAAGGCCTGGGAAATAATAAAAAAAAGCAATAAATATAAGAGGTTATGTCACTTGGCAGCTTAGCACGAGAAAATAAACGTCGGTAGGGACAATCGTCAAAAGAAAAACAATGGAGATGGCTGATTTCTATATGGTAACGCTTAAATTTCATCAAAGGCACGTTCAGACATTTCGTCAACCTTTCGACAAGCTCCATTACAAACATGTAGGTAATTGTTTTTCTAAATCGAGAAACTCAACTAGCACTGATTGTACTTATTTCTACTGATTGCATTGATCTCATGAAACTCGTCAAGCAGCTTGACGAGCCGACTGAACGCGCCTCTATTCAATCCTCAATGGGATGCACGGTACTCGAATCGTCCCTAAAAGATTTAAAAAAAAAACTTACATCCCGTACTGATGAGGAAATACAAAAAGAAATAAAATAAAATAAAATAAAAATAAAAATTCAAAGTCTTTGGGATCCAGCTACATCATCAAGTCGTATCGATTATGAACGGTGATTATGTGACGTCGTAGACTAGCTGTTGTTGACTGAGCTTTGTTGCAAACGGGACAGACTGTCTCTCCGGTGTGGAGTTTCATGTGGTTGAACATGTTGGGCTTGTGCTTATAGCTAACTCCGCACACAGGACACGGGAAGCGAGTGCTATTCCCTGGATCGCTGAGTATACCTATTGGAAAGACAACATGTCAGTACAGAATCTCGAGAGGATGAAATTCTAAAAATGTCAACTGCAGAGACAGTACATCCATGGCCAAAGTAGGAAACAACCTGTCTCCAGCGACATAACAGACATCCTATCATACTTGATTCTTGATTTTTTCTTCGGAAAACGAGTCAACTTAATTTCTTGAAAACTCCCTTGATTTATCTTCCCTAGCAGGATATCCCGTAGAGATTTCAAGCTGTACCTACACTGCCGTGCTAAGGAAGAACACCGTACGAACATTCGAGAGTTGCCAAATTTTCTTCAATTAAATGTTTATTTTTTAGGAAAGTTAAGAATATTTTCCTTTTTTTTCCAGAAAGTTTAGTTGAAATTACGAATAAAATTATTTTAAAAATTGGAGGGAAAATATTCATAAGTTTAGCAGGAAATTTTCGTTTTATCAAAGGAAATGTAGCAACGCCTGACGGTTCATACGACGTTTTTCCTTAGCAGTAGTACAGTTGACTTGTTTTTGTTTAAAGCAAATGAAATAGGAGCAAGTATTTTGCGACACCGCAAATGAGATAATTGAGGCGTTGGTTGCAGAAAGGGTATTTTTTGGTTTCGGTGTTCCAGAATCTTCACGGCCAATTTATATTTTAGAGAGGAAACTACTGGGTGAATTTTCTGAAATTTTTGGTTTTCAGCGTTGCAAATTCATGAAAATAAAATTAAAATTTTGAGACGCATAATCTTTTTAACCAGAAACAAAAGACAAATCCGAAAACAAGGAAACCTCTCGTCTTCCTAAATCCCTGGTTCCTTGGTTCCTGGTGCTAAGGAAAAACGCAGTATGAACATCCGAGAGTTGCCAAATTCCTCCTCTTAAAGCGTTAATTTTAGAGGCAAATAATGAACATTTCTACCTGAAATTCTCTGATACTTCAGATCACAATGCGAAGACAATTCTTTGAAAAATTGGACGCAAAATTTCCTCGAGTTTCATCGAAAATTCGTATTTTAACAAAAGAAATTTGGCAACGCACGAAGGCTCATACGGCGTTCTTCCCAAGCATGGCAGTACAGTACATCGATCCACTCGATCCTCATCTGTCCCCAGGAAGAAGGTTTGATGATCCAATCACGGAGGGACTCAAACTGATGTTTACCTCAGATGATTTTCGGAGGTGGACGCAAAACGTCCGGTTAGAAAAAGGAATTTTAAAAAAAATGAAAATGCAACCAAATGCAAAAAAACAAATATAATTACTTTTGGTACTAAATTAACTATTCTCACGTTCAAGACTTCATAGTTCTCGAAGTGTTCTTTACGAGACCCGGGACAATTTATTTGAAGGTATGGGACAACGCTTGAGTGAATACAACATAAAAAATAAGAATAAACATAAACGCTATAAAAAATGAAAAAGTTCTGATCACAATTTTAAATCATATAATAGTTCAGTTTGGGTACAAAGAATTATGGAAAAACAAAAAAAATAATGAACGGTCAGGTGCATGAATATCAATGGCTAAATACGATACCATGTTTCACCGTCTGCTACTTAGTAAAGGAGAAAGAAATATGAAAGAAAGAAAAATAAGTAGAAACTAAGTAGTAGTTCTCTTAATAGAAAGAAATATGGCAAGTCGTCTCTTGTCATACTTCTTTCTTCAGGAAACTAATCAACCAAATTTCTTGAAAATTTGCCTTGATTTTACTTCTCTCGTAGTTGATTATTCTGAATCAATTTGCTACAGGAGGTTGGTTTCTTTTTCTCCGCAAAAATAGAATTGGAGCGGTTTTAAATAACCATAACAAGTTACGTAGTTTCGCAACGACATGCAGAATGTAAGTTACTTTTTGTAATTTCGACCAAAAAAGGTGTAAAATCCGAATACTCTGGGCAAGATGAACCGAAAACAGTTGTAGAATAAGAAAAGAACACCCTAAAAAGTTTTGAACTTGATGGTGAGTATCCTAAAGGTATCATTTTCTTGGCACGGTCACCTCAAGTCACCTCATTGGATCCCATGGACCATAATCATGTGCCTCCTGTAATTCCCTCGATTTGAGCAAGCTTTGTCGCATATCTGACAATAGGTTTCACCGAGGTGTATTTTCATGTGGTTGTACATGTTGGTCTTGTGCTTATAGCTAAGGCCACAAACAGGACACGAGAAGCGCTGCGTGCGATTTGCGTGGTCCCATGATTGACCTATTGGAAAGATAATTGGTCAGTGCTGAATCTTAACACATAAAACGAAACGAAGGAAATGAAAAAATTGTACGTGAAGCAAGGGATGGACTCGAACTTCAACGACTTTGCCCCCGCTCCGACACTTAATCAGGATACATTTTGCAATAATGAGTCACAATATCTACTTATAATTTATTCATAAAAGCACCTGCCTGCACAGGAAAACTAATAGTACATGTGTTGTTTCTAAAATGCGCGAAGAACCGAAAAGAAAAAGAAAAAAGGAAAAGATCAAGAGGCTGTGTAATTTCTTTGTCACTTTGCCTGCAATTTCCTTGGTGGGCCGGATTTCATTCTCCCTGGTGCGATATTAGTCTACTCAAGGATTTATTTTCTGCATTGCTTAACTTTAGAGAAATTATAGCTATATCCGACCAGCTAACCTGTTTCATGGGATTTTAATGCTCTCTTCTTTTATTTAAGAAATTATATAATAAAAAACTCATTTTTAAAGAAAACGCCACACAAATAGAATTTTATTCGATCATTCCTTCAGGAAAAAATCGTTTTTCCTGGCGTACTTCCTGGTTATAGTAAGCACACAACGGTGGGACGTGCAACTACACCAAGTTTTTGATGCGAGATACAAAAGGTCTGGTTGAGGTAAGTAATTAAAAAACTGAATATCATTTTCAATTTCAACCAAACCAACTTGAATCTATTTACATAAGTACACAAGTAAATTCAGGGTAAAAAAAACTGGAAATTAAGGATGGGTATTATACGGATCACGGTTCAGCATCTATGGTTACACCTCTGTTGCGTTGGTGCAGGCAAACTAATCAAAACAAAACTAAGATAAAACGCTGAATCGTACAATATAACAAAAATAATTTCATGGGTATCATTTTCATCCGAATACAAAGATAACTCAGGGTTGGCTTTTTCGAAGAAATCTCATGTTTCCCCGTGGACCATAATCATGTGCCTCCTGTAGGAGTACACTGTTGCGTGAGCTTTCTTGCATAACTGACAGTAAGTCTCACCGGAGTGTAGTTTCATGTGGTTGTACCATGAGGTCTTGAACTTATAGCTAGCGCTACACTTGGGACACGAAAATGGTCCTTCAGTGTAGTCCATTGTTTCGTTGGGTGGACCTATTGAAAAAACAGTAAGTTAGCGCTGGACCCTCAAAGAGTATGAAACTATGCAAATATTAAAAGACATACAATTTATTCAGTTCGGTAAGTGGCAAGTTAACATTTTTTTACGTTGAACACTTAATTACGTATACGAGCGAACTATATCATAATTTAAAAAAAAAAAAAAAAAAAAAAAAAAAAAAAAAGATCGCCTTCCTACTGTTGCATTAGATACTGCCATATTGGTACAATGGGACATGCTAAGCGAATCTTTGCCGAAAAAAAATTGGAACGATGTGCAGAAAACGCAAAAATGGCTCATTCAATAAATCCCATCCTAAGTGCAGCATTGCCATTGCTTGGGTAAAAGGATTGTTGGTAAGTTAATTTCTGTATTCCAGTGTTTCTTCGCAGAACATAATTTTCCTGAGGAAAATGTACCTACGCATTTTTTCCTTGCACTTCTGATCTTTTGTTTCACTTTTCATGGGTATCTAAGAGCTAAACCGCGTATACTTGCTGCATGCAAGAAATCTTTCGTGGAGAAAAAATCAACTAAAAGAAATGAGAAACGCTACCTAAAAGACATGCTTGAACTTTAACGCGAGTTCGTTTTCTTAAACATTCGTGACGGAAGTGAGGAAAAAACATAGTTGCAGGAGGTTTTCAATTGTAAATAAAAAATTTATTGCATTTTGGCATACAAGGAAAATAAAGATATAAACATAATTTTTGACTTGCTGATATTTAGTCACCTCAGGTAGGTATTAAATAAACTAATTGCTTTAAAGTTGGGGTTGAGGTCTTTTTTACAAACAAATTATAATGGATGGATTTAATACATGACAAACTTAAGTGACAGTTTCAAAAGTATCGGCCATTTTCGGTAAAACTAATATTTACTTGATGAAATAAGTCGAGGCTAAAACTCATTGTCTCTTTTGGGAATTCGAATTTATGATTCGTCCGAGACTTGTTTCCATGTAGGTAATTTTTCAAATTCGACCATATTTTTTTCTGTAATTACCAAAATGACTCTGGAGAAATTAGAGAAATTAAACCAATTAAGAAAATTAGTACCCAAATTAGCGAAACCAACCGAATAACAAAACTGTAACCACAAATCTGAGGTTACTTCACAAACAAATCACGGCACAGGCAAAATTCGCAAATCTAAAGAGGGAATTGATGACAGTTTGTAAAGAAATATGGTGAAGTTTTTATGATTAGAATTTTAGACCATAGATCTGTTCACGTAATGCAAGCGGCAAGAATACCTGCATTTTTCTGCAGACTTTGATGGAGCCCTCCGAGTAAGCTGTTCGATATGCATATAAAAAAAGTAGATGACACGCATTGCATCGAGAGAGAACTAACTCGAAAATATAGGGTCCCCTGTTTCTTTTCGCATAATGCAATTGATTGAAGAGTGGATCAAATTTATCAAAATGGAAGAGAATAAAAAAGGCGCTTCTATAAGTGGAATGTCCCAAAGCTTAACGGTACTTTTCTCGGAATCAGTTCTTGGGATCAAAATAACTTTTTTGTTCAGTAACGTTTTCCTAGATAAATCCCTCCTTTCAAAAATCAAAGTATCGCAGAAACCCTCCTTAAAATACCTACGGTTTTGGTTTTCCTGAAATCAGAAATGTGTTCAGTGTGTAAAAGTACATAAAAAAGTCAATTTAATTCACAACTGTCTCCGAAATAAAAATTTTAAAAAAACGGTTTTTTGTCCGAAACTTTGAAGGTTTGTAACCCAGATGGATGCGATTTTGTGGGAATTCGTTGTAAAACAAAAAAGTCTTGGGTACTAAATCCCAAAAGTCGATCCTGAAAATAGACGTGTTTGACTCCGGGATACCCTGCATTTAAAAAAGGAAAAAAATAAACTTCCCTGTGGAAAAAAATCAGCGACAGATAGGTTGTTTATGATGCACAAAAAAATATCCTCCCTGCCGAATTCGGTGGGTTTTTATTTTCTTGCGAATCACCTCGATTCACGTAATTACTGAATCCCGTGAACGAGTATCAAGTGCCTCTTGTAATTCCCGGGAGTTGAGTGAGCTTTGTTGCATAAACGACAGTAAGTTTCACCGGAGTGGTACTTGAGGTGCTGGACCAGATTTCCTTTGTTGGCGTAGCTAGCTCCGCATATCTTACACTTGAACAGCTTGAAACCTTGGGTTTTACCGGGACTAACGGCTGATGACGGAGGATAACCTAAAAATCATCAGATCATCAGATACTGGTTACATCAACTACTGACAATCCACGCCAGCGACAATATTTGAACCACACTTTGCAATAAGGGACTACAATTTCTGGCTCGGTTCAGAAACAACCAGGGTGTCTACTAAAACAGGCTGGTCAAAAATCAGTACTTTTACAGAACTTTTTCGGTACACTCCCAAGGAATTCAGTGACCCCCTCAACAGAAAAATTCGGTGCTTTTCAGTACATTCACTTGACGAAATACGAAAAATTTCGAATTTCTCATCTAATTGCGACAAAAGTGTGAAAAAAAATGAAAAAATTCCGGACCTCCTTGCGGAAATTTCCACGCTTTTTCAGTTTTTCCGGACCGCCCTTAAAAAATCAGTATTTTTCTGGACTTTCCGAACTTGTAGACACCCTGAACAACGTACATACTATTATTTTCCTTATACACAAGAGTGTTTTTTCGGATGAGCCAGAAATTTTAGTTCGTCAGTGCAAAATGTTGTCCATTTCATAGAGGCCCTGCACTGCTATCTTTCTAATACTGTAAATTTTAATTTCGTCACTCCGTAACGGTCAGATTCACCTGACGATGAATGATTACCGAGATATTCAACGATCTGTTTGGCAAACAAAACCCAGGTACATTGCAAAATACGAAGAAGAAGAGAAAAAAAGGAAGGGAAGATAAAGAGGAGGAAGAAAAAGGTTGTTCACGAATTCGCCATGTTAGAGAAAAGCTTAGCATTAACCTTTAGACATTGCAAAAATACGAATTTCCAAGAAAACTTGTGAGTATTTTACTTCTGATTTTCAGTGAATTTTATTTGCACTTTAATCTATAGAATCGGAAAATTTCGGGGTGAAAAACGTATAACTTTGTTCAAAAATAAATATTTTATCGAAAGAAATTTGAGAATGTTCGAGGGTTCATTGGGCGTTCTTCCGTATCAAGGCAGTATACCTTTCTGGAGACTTTAACGCAAAGTACAGAATAAAGACAACCTTCTTCTGCTTCACCAACCTGCCGTGCTGATATGAAGCATGATGCCGTATGAGCCTTCGAACGTTGCCACATTTCCTTCTGTATAAAATAAGTAGAGATATTAAAGGAGACTTGGGGGTATTTTACTCCCGATTTATCGGAGAATCTCATCTGAAATTTAATCTACAGTATGTGAAAATTTCAAAGAAAAATACTCATAACTTTCCTTCAGAATAAAAGTTTCAGAGGGGGCAACTCAGCAACATCAGGGAGTTCATACAGCGTTTTGCTTGGCCATAGGAGCAATGGTATTGTGAACCAGCTAACCCGCTTTGTGCTCTGCGCCGACCGAATTGGTATTTTGCGGTATAAAATTTACACTGACTAAATTAGTAAATTACACTAATTATGTAGTGAGGGGTATGGTGGTGCTTGAAGTACATCACCAACTAGTTTGGGCGAAACACCAATTTTCTTGGTGAACAGCACCAGCGAAGGTTGGCTGGGATAAACACACTTTTTCTTCGGTGTAATTTGACAAACTTGTTTTGCAAACCTATCACTCAAACAGCTATCAATAAATTATCTGGCAGAGAAGGGTATTGATTTTTAAACTTGACTTTGGCTGTACTCAAAATTGCTGGGATTAGAGATGCAAGGTCTCAAAATGGATTCTATAGTCGAGTAGAATGTAATTCAGTCAAATTTCAACGACGAGTGCGCAAAGTCGGATTTCCTTCAAGGAGCTGAGAATTGCCCAACATTAGAAATTACGATGTGTGTTTCTTTATTATGCATTTGATGTTAGTTATCAATTACACACTATTCCTACCATTGGCAGGGCGAGAATGATCGATTGTCGATATTTCCCCATTTGAAGCTATGGAAAAAGATCGACCATTAAGGTGTTCGTTGCGAACACTATTTGTTTACTAGGGGGCCCTGCCCCCTGACCGCTACGCGGCCCAACCCCCGAGAGGGCGCCTCGCGCCCTCAGGCCCGCTTCGCGGGCCCTATACGCATATGCATAGGCAAAAATGTTCTTCCATTTTAATACACCATTTTGTGTTCGAGCTGCATCGATTTCAAACTTTTTGACGTAACACTCAGATTTGTAAATGATGAGGAATAGCTGGATGTACATAATTTCACAGTCCACTTACTGGAGAAATTTCTATTTATTATGTTATTTTTAAATACTTAATAAAAAAAAAAAAAAATCGGATTTCGACCGTTAAGAGTTAATAATATTTGGTCCGTCCCGACGCGACGCAGCGCCTGCCTTCTCACTTTATATCTGCTGTTTATCTGCTGTAAATATTATTAGAAATTCAGCAATCAAGTAAATTGACCAATGCCACAAATCGAAGCCGGAAGAATGCAGGAAAAATTGAGTAAAAACCTTATACCTTGGACCTTGAACCTTGAACCCTGAGCGATGCACCGTTCCTCAACTCTTCGAATGAGGAGCCCTTCACGAGCTTTTCCATTGTTTTATTGTTTATTCGAGTCACTCACGTAGAATCCCACACCTTGACTTTTCTAGCGGAAACGACATATCTCTCACGCTATTAACATTGGACTTAAGTGACATGAGCTTTAAAAGCTCTACAACATTAAAAGTTCGGGGTTTCATAATTTTTTGCACATCTACATCTACTACAGATGACATACATGTAAAGATCATCCTTATCGGTCTAGCAGTTCGGCAGAAATAGTGCTTCCAAGATTTTGCTTGTAGCTGTATAATATAGATAGATTCTTTTCCATAGGTTTAAATGGCAGATCAATCGATACGTCGCAAAGCACGCCACGCCACTGAGTCCTACCAGGAATTAATTGAGAACACCACAAGAGTAAATTGCACGATTGAGAGCAGCTAATCAAATCGAGGCAAACTGATTGGTGGTTCGTTAAAGTATGATCGAGCAAAGAACCATAATTTTTTTAGAGATAAGTACTGTTGTGAATTTTCTGACTCAAAAATTATGAAACTGTCCGAACTTACAACCGATTTAAATTACTTTATTCCGAAAATAAATAAATGAAGAGCTGTAAAACGTGTTTAGCTACTATATTTGTCTCCGCCACCGCACACGCTCCTTCGATGAGAATTTACTGGCTTAAGAGCTTGACTAGCGAGACAATTTCTAAGGCTTGGAGATGTAACACTCCTAATCAGAAAATTTCCAATTCAGCCGGATTTTTAACTTCCCTACTCATTGGGTTCACTCTGGAAAAAAATGGAGCCTTTCCATTTTTTCAATCAAATGATTATGATAGGCTTCAAAAGTTAAAAAACTTCAATTGTTTGTAAATTTTTTTATTTTTCCTTTTTAATGATAATAACTGCTACCAATACAAAAAGAATATCACAAGTCAAGATGGGCGTTGCGCCCTGAGTTACAGAAATTCTTATACAAAAACGCGTGGTGAAACGAAACCGATATGGAAACAAAAAAAAAAAAGAATGAATAAACAAGATTCATATCATGCAATTGAAGAAGACAACAAAAAAAATGAATGATTGAACAAGATTTATATCATGCGATTAAAGAAGACGATGAAAAAAATTAATGAATGAACAAAATTTACCTAACAATATTTTTCATTTTTTTTAAAAGATTTTTTTGTAATTGAAGAAGACTAACAACCAGGTACATGGAAAACAGCGCAGAAGAGAAAAGAGAGTCTGTGTCTCATCTATGTAAAAAAAAAGATGATATTTCCCTCCTAATCCCGTCAATATTTGTAAAATAAATTAGATAAATATTTCCTTATACACAAAACGTAAAGGTTAAACATTGACCAACAGCGAGGCAAGGTCTTTCAGATGTATAATCTAAAATTTAATTTGGTAGGCAATGACTGCCGTTTTTTCCGACATGAGTCAATTGTTCGTGAAAAATCATATCACCCCAAGACATAGTCGAGAAGAACGAAAAGGAAGATCTGCTTCACCAGGAAAGGATTCATTAAGGAAAAACAGCCTAAATTAATCTTAATACCGTTCGTACCCTCATAAATTAACAGTTTAATGAATATACCTTTTTTGAGTTTTTAACTACACACGAAAAGTTTTGGGGAGAAGTCCTTTAGATCACCAATGAGGAATAGTGACAGGGATGAGATTTTATTTTTCAGTGTGAAGTTTCCAACTCTTGTGACAAGAATAAGGGTTGCGCACAGGGTAAAATATACCTACATGAACAATACTGGTACAAAACGAGTCAGCAAAGGTTTTTTTTCAGTTCATTGTGCTTCGATCAGAGCGCCTGCTTTTAGTATGCTTTACTGATAATTTGGATACTATTGCAATAAGAGGAACAGCAACACAACTTATACAGCAACTGGAAACAACTTTGAATAGAGAACTTGCATGTGTGAGGGATTTGCGATTTAAGTGCGATTCCATGAGTAAAATTGTACAAGATACACGATGGTGCCACTGCTTTTCTCTGAAATCAACTACCAAGCTCTAAAAAAGCTCTCGAAATTCAATCCGTCACGGAGGGAATATTCCATGCTATCCTGAGAGTTCACCTACACATCAATTCAAACTCTCTGTGCAAAGACAGGGAGCAAATACATTAGCAAGGTTGCCGTGTTTTCAGTTTTGGAGCCCCAAACAAAGTGGGAATCCTGTAAATGTGTTTGCACCCCATCTTCGCATGGAGGGTTTGACTTGATAAAGACAGCGTGGGATATCCCCTCCATTACGGCCTAAACTTTAAGATATTTTTTTGAGCTTCGGAGTTGATTTTACAAAAAACCAGTGGCACCATCGTATTTCTCGCGAAACTTTACATAAAAAACGTACTAGCTCACACATGTAAGAGCTCCATTGTAAAATGTCACTAATATAAAATCAGATCACGAGAAGTAGATGACGAAGAAAGCACATAGGTTACATAGCAATTCCGTGAACTTTTAACATGTGGGTCCTGAAGTATGGCTTTGTGCCGAGACCTTTTTGACAAATTGCACAATATGTTTCTCCAGTATGTGAGTTTTGGTGGCTGCGCAAGTTGGTGTAGTGTTTGTAGGAAGCGCCGCAAATATCACATTTAAAAGGCCGGTTCGCGTCAGTCATAGATTCATTCATTAGTTTCATGTTGAAGAAGAGATTCTCGTGCTTTCTGGCGCGGGATCCTGGAAAAGTCGGAGAGTTAGTCAAAATGAGAATCAAGAACTGCGGGCTGATCGTTGAAATTGATAGACAAAGGAAGACGAGGGGAAAGTGAAGGGGTCCTATTGGTTGCAACGGGTGGTTGTTATGGACTCAGGGCGAAAATGATGAACTAACTATAGGGTCCCTCGTGGGGAGCCGTTAACTGGTCTACTATTTAGCTCTTTCGTCCATTGCAACCATCCGCTTCCATTTCCTCTTAGTATATTTTTTGTATAGATTTGTCTATCAATATCAATGATCAGACCGCTGTTTCAGTTAAGAGACATAGACAACGAAGCAGGCTTTTGTCAAAGATAATCGCACATGGGTGGTTTCACGATAACTGGAATCGTTTAACACCACACAACACCACCATAACAGACCACCATAACAGACAACACATTTTTCGGTAATATTTTCAATGGTAATGATATAATCACTCGAATTATTTTGCATTAATCTACACAGGGTTACGTGTTATAACGCTTTTCAACGATTTATCGCTCTACTTTTCAATTTCAATGTATAAATGGTCGAAAATGTGCTGCCTGTTACGCTGACTTTTTACCGCGTATCAGACAGCACATTTTCGGAATTTACAAGATATTAATTGAGAAGTAGAGCGATAAATCGTTAGAAAGCGTTAAAATACGTAACCCTTTAAAGATTAATGCGAAAAAATTCTAGTGATTATCATTTCAACTAAAAATATGACCGAAAAATGTGTTGTCTGTTACGGCGACAAAACTATTTCAGTTATCGTGAAACCACCCGCATGGCCGCATGTCTGAAACAAAGGGCTTACAGCAACTGTTTTGACTTCTGGGAGCGCTGATGGCCTATTCGAGTAATTGAAGGCGCAACGAGAAACTCTTTTCTTCGTCAGACAAATTCAACTCTTCTCATTGTGATGGTTGATTTCGTACCCTATTCAGTTGATCACTTTAATACTTTTGAAAGACATTGGGCAAATCATTGAACTTGATAGACAAAGGGAAAATGGAGGGATCTATTGGCTAAAACGGGCGGTTGGTATAGACTAAGGGAGGAAATTATGAACTTGAGTCTCTTATGGGTTGCCGGAAGTTAATATATTATTTACCTCCTTCGTCCATGGCAACCACCCGCTTCTTCCAATAGAATCGCTCCATTTTCTCTTAGACTTCGTTGTCTATCGCTTTGTTTATTGATTTCACTGAGAAAAATTGGATATTTCGCTTTAAACAGAACTGGATTCTTTACAGTTTCTTCGGATCGATTCTTGAATCTTAATCAAATAACCTCCATCGACATATATCAATGGTAAAGTCGGAAACTACGTACTTATGTCCATTGCAATGTTTCTAAATTTCTGCTCCTTTTTCATTTTCTCGAAGAGACACAAGCCAACTGCATGGCCTGAAAATAGAGAATATTCCGCTAATAGAGAGGAAAAAATCAAAGAAGTTTTCAAGAAATTACACTGACCACTTTTCCGAGGAAAAAGTAAAGTAGGTATGACAGGCAAGCTGCAACGTCACAAACGGAGATACGTAGTTCAGTGGTGTGGCGTGCTTTGCGATACATCGATTGATCTGCCATTTAAACCTATGGAAAAGGATCGATAAACAGGGAGTTCGCAGCGAACACCTTAATAATCGATTCTATACCATGGCTTCAAACTGGGGAATATCGATATGTCGCAAAGCACGCCATGCCACTGACGTAGTTTCGCACTTCAGCCATCGATATTCATGTGCTAAATCGTTAAATATTTTTTTTTTAAGCAAACGATTAATTACACCAAATAAGATTTTAAATATGACGAGGAAACTTCCACTATAGTGTAAGTATTAACTTTGTTCTCGCTGTTCCCAATAAAAAGAAAAATTCATTGCAATACAAAAACTCCTGATACCAAAAATCGAATTTTATTTAGCGTGATTAGGTGCAATCTTGTTTCCGTGAATTGTTTACGCTATAAAATTTTCAAAATACTAAATTTAAAAATGTTTACTAGAATTTCACAAACTGATTCTAGGTACCATAGGATTGTCACATCACAGGATTTTGTTCATTTTAGCTGCAAGGAAGCAGAATCCTTTAACTTCAGAAAGTAATGTAGGTAATCCAGCAAGACCGCACTTTAAAGAGGATCTTTCGCATTATTCAATTTGAGAAACAACTTACGTATCAAAAGTCATTATTTTCATGGTAGACGCAGACATAAATTAAAAACTTTCGTCGAGCGTTCGAAACATTTTACCTCTGCAAGTGACCCACTTAAAGTAAGATTTATAAGTAGAACATAAGGAGGTGCTGGGATAAGAATGACATACCCTTAAGAAATGAACTTCTGAGGATGCTTTATTAATGAAATATGATTAATATGACTAAAATAAGAGGTACAAAAGTCGTAAATGGAAAAAATTGTACAAGCAAAAAATGCACCTTTAAAATTATTGAATAGTATATAGTATAAGTAAAACCTTAAAATTATGATAAAAATAGTGAGAAAAACCAAGATTCATTAGGAATGTATGGAAAGGCTGGAATGTATCATTGAGTTTAGCGACATAATATAACGTTAAATAGGTAATTGCCATACATTAAAAACTAAAATTAAATTCTTTGTGAAAATTACTCGATCAAAATATTCACAAAACGAGGAATTTTGACCCACAGGGCACATGCAATTTTCTTATTCTCATTGGGCCATTTCAGGTCACCAATTTCAGGAACTCTTCTTTCTTATTCAATCACAAACTTAGCTACACTTGAAGACAACCTACGCGTATGAAGGGATCGCACATTGTAAGTTAGCAACACCGTTTTCCTTATTCCATTTGAATCCATTATAATGTATCGATTCTTTCACATATATTTAAACGGAAAAAACGAGGATGCAAACTTAAGAGAACCGCCACTGGCTCAGAGCTAAATAGGCTTAATTACATTGCAAAGTTGCGAAGTTTACGTAATAACTTCCTTCTTTCAGGAATTACAGGAGTAACAGTAATTTCAAAGATGTTTCGTAAAATCACAAAGCGAAATTAATCTAAAATTCTGAAGGAAAATTCGCAACAGTTTTCGAGTGAGATAGCATGATGATACCATGAGATTATTATTGTTATTGTCCAAAAATAATCAATTTTCATAGTGATAGTAACCTAAATAATAAATTATTCATCGGATTTTCCTTTGTACTAAATTTTCAAAAAGAAAAAAAGAAACTCATGAAAGAATTTTGAGGATAGTTAAGGGAAATTTCTCAAAGTTGCAATGCAAGTAAGCGCTTCTGGCTCCGATTCCTGCATGTAGGCGTCTCCATACTGCGTGTACGTAAATCAAAACAACAGCATACAATAACATTCTCAAATAACAGTTTTGAGACATTACCTTCTCAAAATACAAACTACAAACCCTGAGGCAAACATATCACACAAAAAGAATAAAACCTGAGGGTAAATTTTCAAAAAATAAAATAAATATAGGACGCATAAAAAAGAAAGAGAGAGAGAAAGCACGTTTGAATCTTCTAATGTATAGTTTAATACCCTGCTTAAACTGTCATTTACAAAATGACAATCTGTTAAAAAGTAGAAAAAAAAACGAGAAACAAGCTTATGTTGAGGACGTAAACTCGAATCTTCGGATACGCGCTTATTAAGTTTTTCATCAGTGATAAAAGGTTCATTCGGTCTCACAAAAAAGCATGAAATTTGCATGAAATGTAAAAGAATACAAAAACTTACATGCTAGAGAGTGAGTAATAATTTCAATATTAAATTACATCAAAGGGCATATTCGCCATTTGTTACGTAAAGAGTAACTAAATATGTATCACAATCAACTTGACACATTCAGACAGCTTCGGTGGGGACTGAAACAAAGCTTCTTGCATTCTTTGTCGGTGGGAGAACTACAAAATCTTCCTTCATTATTTCGGGGGAAAATAGTGATGGCAAATGCTCAATGCGTTAAGTCTGAAAATTCTGCTCTCATAACCACCACTTCAACCCTAAAACTCCCCTTGCTGTATATTCACAATAAACGATCTTGGGTGAATTTAAAAATTTAGGTTAGTGGAAAAATGTATGCGATCGATCAGATTAAAGGTTCCAGTAAAATGATCGATTTACAAACAGCTTGTAATTTCGACTTGAAGTTTTCAGTGTTTAGATATTGGAAATTTTTTTAAGAAGTTTGGTGAGAAAAAGATTGTGGAATTTGTTTTTTTGTGAAAATGGTTGCGACTTTACAGAATAGTGCCGATAAAAAACAACATTCGAGAAATTTTAGGAAGAAAAAAAGGAAATTTGAATATTCAAAAATACGGTGGTAAAACTTTTGAATTTCAACAATGAGGGATGAAAAAAATGTTATGATGGTGCCTAGTGGTTTAAAAATAAAATAAAACAAATATGGAAAAAGAGAGCATTTGATAGAAGAGAAATATGCATATTTTTCATGGAAAATGAGAGAATTAAGTAGTATCCTACGCTGAATTACTTAATTATCTTAAAACTAATTAAACAAGTAATAAGCGTCAATGAGTATTAGTAAAAAAGCTATGGGTAATACCTAGTTATTCCTAAAACACGGAAAAATGGCCTGCTCAATTCAACGCTTAAGATATTTTTACAGCACATTCAAATATAAGGATTTGACATTTTAGATCGATAAAAACCGAGAAAATAATGAGCTGTAGCATTACAGCAAAGAGAAAATAGTAAAGCCTGCAAAATAAAAACATTGGAGGGTTTGGGAGAATATAATTTAATTAAACATGTGAAAAAACACAACGCGAAGAGGAAACTTAGAAAAAAGAGAGGAAAAAACAGAATTCTAAGGATGAATAAGCTAATTTTCGGAATTAGAACGCCCTATTTTGGCCTTAGGTACATGAAGAGGGAAACCTCTGAAGAAAGGGAATGTCTTCTCCTTCTCGAAGACCTGGGGCTTGTCTGGATTATAGACATAATGCTATTGTAGAACGATTTTGGTAACAGAATCAACTTGAGTTCATAGACGATTTCATGATGGTAGTATTACAAATTGTGCATTATGCTCAACAATGAATTACACCTGTGTATGTGCTAAAAATGTAAAACTTGCATTGCTGTGTCCCCAAAACTAGATTTGCACTCACTTCGAAAATTACAACGGAAGCAGTTCTCACTAGGAGGTTTCATTTAGATCGCGTATTAATTGAAGAAATAGAGGCAAATTTTCGGAAGCTTTTCGGTGGGAAGATATAATTCTTTACCGAGGGCAGAATTTATAGTTACATTTTTGAGCGCAGAGAGTACATTGAGAAAAAGTCGCGAAAATTACCGCATTCCCGTACTAGTTTTTATTAGTAATAATCAGGGAATCCTGAGAATTTCATCGTTTCCGATTATGTCACCGTGTTCTCGGTATATTTCCGACTGTATTTCACTACTACCTGGTAATTTTAGTACTCGCTTTAAAAAAGGTTAGAAAGAAGGTGACTAAGAGGACGGAAAAATTCCAAGAGATAAAAACTACTGGGAAGGTTGGTCATTTTCGCAACTTTTTTTTTTCATTTTTCCAGTGGGCGATGATCTCTATCATAGTCAGAAAAAGAAATTCTATAAACACCGTGTAATAGAGACTTCATATTAAATCTAGTAGAAAAAATTTAGAATATACAAAATTACGGGTCAATCTGACCTGTATAAGGCCAACGAAAATTGTAAGTATTACTATTTTTATCCCTTACTTCAAACTCGAGTAAAACAATATTCATAGTTTACAACAACGTAAAATTATCACAACATCCGTGAGGTTAATTCATTTGTACCACAAACACAAAGCAAAAGCACCGAAAATATTCGGTGCCAAAATATAGAGATCCAACTGGACCGTTCATTCCTGCAAAACGCACTGCCGTATCAAAGCTGTGAAAACTAAACGTTTAAATACAACAACCTACACTGACTGAGAACGATTATACCATTGACAGAAAAATCTGAAATCACTGAAAATCATAAGCATAAGAAAGTACCTCCAACTTAATAATGAGGCACATAAAATTTATCGAGGCGTGTTCTGCCGCATTTAATGAGAAATCAAATAATGTTTTGCATGTTTATTGAAACCTTCGAGGAACCAAAAAAATCAGTTAAATCGGTGGTATTAATCAATTTAAAAAATAGAGATCAAATTGTATACGCTAACTTAAGAAAACCACATTTTTTTTAAATAGAGGGTTCAGAGATAAAAAATCGGACAATTCGCTCACCAAAAAAGTCATACAAATTCATAAATTCCGGTGGAAAAAAAGCATTAGGTACATCGCGGCTCAGTGACGATTCGAGAAGAGATCTATTACGGTAAGAATAGCCTCAATTATCCGGTAAGATTCATTTTCATTTTGACGATTAAATATTTCTTGGGTCATA